CCTAGTGAGTCAGGATTTGCGAATCTGAGTCTGCTGTTGACTCGTGCATGACGACGAGTCTGCTGGATCTCTGGATCTGCTGCTATATGGTTACGGCTCCGAGTCCGCACGAGTCTGCTCTGCTGTGTGTTGCACAGCGAATCAGGATTTGCGAATCTGCGAGTCTGCGAGTCTGCGAGTCTGCTGTTGACTCGTGCATAATATAGCGCGGGAGCCGGGTGCTGGAGGAGGGGCTATGCTCGTGCACATGACGAGTATGGATCTCTGGATCTGCTATGCTATTACGGTTAGGAGCCGTCGGCTCCTCTGAGTCCCCACGAGTCTGCAGGAAGTTTCACTGATCCGCGTCCCCCCTGAGCCAAACGATAACTTTTGGCAGGCAGCTATCCTGTATACTTGCTAAAGGGTAGGCAGATGGACTGGGGTACGTTGTAATGTGATTTTACATGTTATAAAGAGAGTAGCGAGTGACGCAATTTATAGTTTTAATTTGTACGTCACACCAAGTGTGGGACTCAAGGACTCGGGTTAATGGAGAGGGGAGACTCGTCACGACCAGCTCATTTCTAGGATCCGGGTTAATGATCCGGATGAATCAGGACTCGCCCATCTCTACTTTCTGTGCATGGATCGCTGTGCATTCGTGTGTGGGTTTTTTGAGACTCCCCTGACGGTCACCCGATTCGTACTTGTAATTTTTTCTATCTATAGCCAATCAGATGTCTCCTCAATTCTAAGCCAATCACATGAGCGCGCCCCCACGAGGGTAGATTTCTTACGTTCATGACGTAGCGCTTCATGTACGCATTTTGCGCTGTCCGGAGCTGACAGGTCCATGGAGCCTGCCTGCAGGCGCTAATCTCAGGACACTTCCACTCTCAGTACATTGCCACTTTCCGAGCAGGAAATGCACGCAAATACAAGCCTTTATATTATTAAGGTACAGTGCCACTTTCCGAACCATTAATGAATGCTTGTGTACATAAAAACGGCAGGCAAAACCGTTTTAAATGTGTGTTTCCTGTATGGCGAATACAGCTGCTTTATTTATGTCTGTATGAAGTTGTTGTGAGTGTGGAGGGAGCAGCTACAGGTTAGCTTAGCCTAATCGATCAGTGCACTACGAAGCCAGTGCTAGACAGTGAACTGTCAACGGGGGGAGCCCCGCCGGTCATTATCGGCCGATATTCACTCTTAATAGTTTGATCGGTGCTCTCTATAAAGGCCGATCAGGAGAGCTGGATCTGATCGATATGGACATAAACGCGAGTGAAGTTTTAGCGAGCTGCATGAGAAACTGACGGGCTGTCAGGAGAGAGGGAGGGAGAGAGGAAAAGAGATGATCCTTATAGAGATGGGCGAGTCCTGATTCATCCGGAAAGTGGCACTGTACCTTAATAATATAAAGGCTTGTATTTGCGTGCATTTCCTGCTCGGAAAGTGGCAATGTACTGAGAGTGGAAGTGTCCTGAGATTAGCGCCTGCAGGCAGGCTCCATGGACCTGTCAGCTCCGGACAGCGCAAAATGCGTACATGAAGCGCTACGTCATGAACGTAAGAAATCTACCCTCGTGGGGGCGCGCTCATGTGATTGGCTTAGAATTGAGGAGACATCTGATTGGCTATAGATAGAAAAAATTACAAGTACGAATCGGGTGACCGTCAGGGGAGTCTCAAAAAACCCACACACGAATGCACAGCGATCCATGCACAGAAAGTAGAGATGGGCGAGTCCTGATTCATCCGGATCATTAACCCGGATCCTAGAAATGAGCTGGTCGTGACGAGTCTCCCCTCTCCATTAACCCGAGTCCTTTGAGTCCCACACTTGGTGTGACGTACAAATTAAAACTATAAATTAATTCACTCGCTACTCTCTTTATAACATGTAAAATCACATTACAACGTACCCCAGTCCATCTACCCTTTAGCAAGTAGGATAGCTGCCAGAAGTGATCGTTTGGCTCAGGGGAGGGGACGTGGATCAGTGAAACTTCCTGCAGACTCGTGGGGACTCAGAGGAGCCGACGGCTCCTAACCGTAATAGCATAGCAGATCCAGAGATCCATACTCGTCATGTGCACGAGCATAGCCCCTCCTCCAGCACCCGGCTCCCGGCTCCCGCGGCTATATTATGCACGAGTCAACAGCAGACTCAGAGATTCGCAAATCCTGACTCACTGTGCAAAACATAGCAGACTCGTGCGGACTCAGAGCCGTAACCGTATAGCAGCAGATCCAGAGATCCAGCAGACTCGTCATCATGCACGAGTCAACAGCAGACTCAGATTTGCTAAATCGCAAAATGACCCTTTTTTTTGTGATCAATATGTTTTATTAAAGCAAAAGACACCACTTTACACACATTTAACACATACAAACACCAGTATTGCAATGATTACGCAGTCCATGAGAAAATATGGGGGGAATATGATTAGATATAATTATATGTTTAATAATAATAATTGTATAATTAAGACATTTTATATATTCTAACTGTTTTGCAATCATTTGTCATTGTTTCTTTTTGTGTGCTATGTTCAAAATAAACGTTTTGCCAAGTAAGATCCTTATTGGAAATGCAGCTATTACACGCAGGAGATTGTTGCACAACATGACAATTTTGTTAGAAGTCTACACTGAAACTTCATTTAGAGCCGGAAACATAATGGACTTAATCAAAATCGCGGGATCCATGAATCCAGGTCAATGATCGAGAGAGACCAGTAGCCTACGAGTTAGTCAGCGGAACTTCACAGACTCAGATTCGCAAATCCTGACTCACTGTGCAAAACACAGCAGACTCGTGCGGACTCAGAGCCGTAGCCATATAGCAGCAGATCCAGAGATCCAGCAGACTCGTCCTCATGCACGAGTCAACAGCAGACTCAGATTTGCCAAATCGCAAAATAACCCTTTTTTTTTAGATCAACATTTTTTATTAAAGCAAAATACACTGTGTAGCGGAGGTTAATATAACGTCAGTTTAATATGCTCGTGAAATGCAACACGTTTTCGGTTTCACCGATAGGATTTCTACGGTCTTGGTGATGCTGACTCATATGACTCAAATGACTCGTATGATCCGGATCTCTTCAATGACTGACTCAGAAGACTCCGAGTCCGTAAAAGGATCCGGATTTGCCATCTCTAGATCCTTACTCCCGTGTTATTAGCCATATCCGGTCACAGTCCGGTAATTACCTGCTAACGGAAACGCTGCTACACAATTCTTCTTCTTCTTCTTCTTATTATTATTATTATTATTATTATTGAAACATGACCGGTAAGTTTCAAATTTGTCCGGTAAAATAAATTCTGTCCGGGGAAACCCTGCTCCGGACAGCGCAAAATGCGTATATGAAGTGTCATGAACGCAATAAATTATACCCTCGTGGGGACAGGCTCATGTGATTGGCTTAGAATGAAGGAGACATCTGATTGGCTATAGATAGAAAAAATTACAAGTACGAATCGGGTGACCGTCAGGGGAGTCTCAAAAAACCCACACACGAATGCACAGCGATCCATGCACAGAAAGCGGTTTGTGTTTGCAGGTTCAGGGGATTTAAACGGAAAACAAATATGTGAGGATCAAAAATACATATGTAAACATACATATGAAACGGAACACATTTGTGTGTGCATTGAAAAACACAAGTGTGGATCCGGAAATACAAGTGTGAATCCTTTTGCGGATCATGAAATACAAGTGTGAATCCTTCTGTGTGCATGTGTGTTACGAACCCACTAGGGATGAGTAAGATAACATACACCAGATGGATTTGGTAAGTAAATAGGATTTAATGAGCAACAACAAAGGTGCACAACAAAATGAGGTCAAAAGAAGCCTACGCCAAACAAAGAAGCCAAAAGGGCGCAGTTCTACTGCTGGTAACAGGAGGACTCTTGAAAATGAGCCTAATTAAGACACCTGAGATCTCTTCCAATTAGCCATATTGGAAGGAGGCTGCAGGAAAACGCAGCTAACAACATAAACTAAACACACGCTACTCTAAGCACACGTATAAACACTCTAAACACACAATACTAAACACGGATTACAAATGTCAAACACAGGCTATAGCTCAACTGAAGTGTCCACGACACAGGAGCAAAATGTGTGAGGCGTCTGATCGCAGCAGAGCCTCCCGAGTGATAATTGTCCCCAGGCTTTGTAGTCATCTCCGGAAGGTGTGCTCTGGGATTGCACGGGGATTGGAGAGCGTCGGGCCCGGCGTGCTCCAATCAGCGTCTTCGGAGGAGGACCAGGAGATGACAGCCAACGACATTGGGGCAACCACACAGCTCATTTACATATTACACACAGCTGCAAACAATCTCAGACAGGTTAACGGGCAGACAGAAACAGCAGCCGTAACAATGTGTGTATTATGAGACTGTTCTGAGCCCATAGAACACAGCATCATTCCTTTTTCAATGCGTATTTTACAGCACATATTTATGTTGTGATGTTGGTACAGGCTTTGTTCCGTTTTTACAATGGAAATTATAATGAATTTTCAAAATGTAAGAACTATGAACCAATGAAATACTACCAACAGTTATGTAGCAGCCAACAACGAATAATGCTTCACTGTATCAGATGAGAAGATGCTTCCTGAAGTTTTCAAAAAATGACAGGGACTTCAGTTCCAACTTGTGTATTGTTTCTTATGACAACATTCATATAACATATAGAGGATTAATAAAAAACGATATCCACGTTTACTTGCGATAATTTTTATTTGAGAGTCATTCAAAGTAGCCACATAACTTAATTAGCATACATCATACGCATGTATATCAATCTTAAATTGCAAACACAACATAACAGCTCCTCCGCACTGTCTTTCTTAGGATGCTACAGACCTTGTTTTGATAAATAGCAATATAAATTAAGTTCACACACTTTTTAACTACAGACATAAGAAGAGGTAGATATGCTAATGCCCAACACGTTTTATTCTTTATTCTCTCTCTCTCTCTCTCTCTCTCTCTCTCTCTCTCTCTCTCTCTCTCTCTCTCTCTCTCTCTCTCTCTCTCTCTCTCTCACATAATTCCTATCAATCACCTGACTTGACATGAAGTGTCGTCCTTAACATATTGACTCTCATAATTTATTTAAGTTGTAGTAAAGGACAGCAGGGCATTTCAAACTAGGTGACAGATTCAAGATTAGATTGTTTGGTAATTTTAAGAAAGAAAAAAATGAAATGCACAAAATGTGTGCAAACTTTTTTAATTGAATGGTATTCCCCTTTAAATAATAAAAAAATGATAAAGCCTGTATTTACAGTGCATATTGTAAAGGGAAGTAAAAATAGATGAAATAACAAATGCATTATTATTTATATTATATTATTTGTTAAGCACAATTCAATTGTTTTTCTAACCTTATATTACAATTACATGTCCCTGTATGTCTATAGCACACTGCGGTATCTGATTCAGATTTGAATCGATTCTCTCCAGCTTACTCAATAGTCGATCATCGGAGTTCACTCCTGCATTTTTCAATATCGCCGGAAGCTGTCGAATCTGACTTGCCGTGGCAGAAGCGACCCAAGTGTTGATCAGCGAATGAAGTTCTGAGGTGGTAAGTCCTGAAACTGCTTGTTTTTTGCTGTCCTTAGTCGGAAGCCTGTGTGCGAAACGACGCAGACGCCTGCCGGGAATATTGTGGTGGACGAAGAAAGCTGGGAGGATCTCTTTGAGGTAGTCGCCCCCGTCTGCAAGAAATAAAGAAGATTAGGAAACATGGAAAAACAAGTCAGAAAACAAAAATGTCCTTCAGACGAAACTGTTTGCTCGTCATGGAGCCATTTTAATGGCCTCATGTGTACAGGTTTAATAAGGTCACATGTGGAAGTAATTTACAATTATTTGCAATAAAGCTTTTAAATGTGATTTACATTCCCTAGGCAGCTGACTTTCAGCTCTTGGGAGTCTCAGGGTCTATGAACACAACACAAATCAGTCCCTTTTCATGACTGCATACTGTAAGTGAAAGATGATATGTGACAGGGCCGTGGGATTAACGGATTACATTTAACAGCATTATATAATCAGGATAGAAAAAAAAGGTAAATGTGTTTCCTTACAGTTACATAAAAAAATATGTAATCAGATTACATTTCCATTTAATAAAATGGGGATAATTAGTATTAGTTTCAATACATTTTGAAATAAAGATCAATATATTATAGGCACTGTCTGAATTTTATTTTTGTTTTTCCTTTATACTTTATTCTTTTAGTAAGTGCGATAATCTCCAAAAACAAAGACATTGATGTAACCAACAACATGATATTATTTCCCCCTTCTTCCTTATAGGACCTTTATCAGCTGTTCACCTTTTGATTTGAGGTCTTGGCAGTTGGCGCACACGCTGTCGTGCCAGGCGGAGCCCTTCAGCACCAGCTTCAGCCCTGGAGCAGCGCAGCTCTTGTGTTGTGTGCAGTTCTGGAGAGCAGAGGAGGTGTCGGAGTAGGTCTCGTAGGGACAATTGCGGCAAACAGTGTCCTCATCAGGTGTACCTGGAGAAGACATTTGTTCTCAATACAGGACAAACCACATACTGCATGATGTCCCTGTGAAGATATCTGTCCAATATTAATCGTACTTTTATTGTAGGGACAGATACTAAACCTCTTCAGTCTTTACATCCGACAGATGAAACCCAACCAAAAACAGCAACAACAACAGCATATTGCTTTGTGACAAACATTAGAAAGGTATATGCGAAAATTGACCTGTTTTCAAGCATTATTCCACATATTTTTAGTTGCTATACAATAGTTTCCATTTGAACTGTAAATACAGTACAAGTTACAGCTTTGTGCCACTTAGGGGCAGTACACTTCAGTCTAAAGGATGTCAAAACTCTTCCCTATCAGTGTTTTCATGCCTGCTTTGACATCGTTATGTAATATGTGCAATCTGGTGCCACTAAATGTTTTTAAAGCTCGGTTGGATGCTACTGAATCGGAAGCTGTTGGTACCTGTGCATGTGGATAGTATGTAATTTGTAATCCCTGTAATGCTACTGTATGATGTCCTTTTGTTGTTCTGTATATGTTTTTAATGTTTCATGTGGAACCTACTTGAGCAGGTCTCCCTTGAAAAAGAGGTCAATGATCTCAATGGGATACAACCTGAATAAATAAAGGTTTGAAATGAAATGAAATGAATGTGTGTGTGGTTACATTTGTTTAATATGATGCCATGGTAACGCTGTGGCTTACATATAGGCCGATATGAATACAATTTAGATTGTAGAATCTTGAAGGAAACATGCTCATGTTGGTGAATTAACAAGTTCATAGGGATGTCTTACTGTAACAAAATTACAATCCTTATTAAATAAACTGATTTAAAAGCATGTTTTACCAATTTTAGAAAAGTTATCCTGTTTAAAATATTGTGGCAGCGGAACTTTTTGTTGCAGTGAATACACTGAACTCCTATAGTGTTCCACAATGCATTGTGGGTTATTATACAGTAACAACATGTTTCAATGGTGTTGTATAGTGAATTTTCAGAAACTTAAAGGTTTTTATTATTGAGGCATCAATAGGCGGGTACCAATACCATTCAGTTTTTCTGGATTGGCAGGAATATAAATAGTGTTTTTTTGTTTTACTATAATTAAGTAAAGGCTATTTATAACAACCGTGCTATACCCCTGACCCTGGGTTTTTTATTCCCCACCTGCCTAACATAATATCGAGCAAATGCTCTAAGTCTGGAGCCTACCTTTGGTCAGCACCTCTTGACCGGAAGGACACTCTTTGTGGCCGGAGCACATGTCGTTGTGGCTCTGGTAGTAGTATCCCTGTTTGCACTGACACTGGCAGTCACGTTCTGCGGTGCACGCGGTCTTCACCTCCTGGTAATAGCCACACGCGCTGCATCGTAAACACCTACTGATGTAATTCCACAGCTCCGTGAACGAGCCCGACGGACAAGGCGCGCACAAGCTGTTCTGCGTCGCTGTGCAGCGTGCGCGCAGGTAGGTTCCCGGGGGACACTTTTCGCACTCCAACGACTCTTCGGTGGCCGAATCTGTGTACGTGAAGGTCCGGACGGCGGGGGGTACGTCTTCACTCCGGGCCACCCGCAATGAAAGCAGCAGCAGCGGGAAGAGAGAAAGCAACATCTGGAAGTGAGGAGGAAACTGGAAAAGAAGGAAGTAAATGCGATGTTATTTAAGGAATACTAGGAAGTTTAAAAAGGAGAAATACTGGAAAATAACAGTGCAAGGACAAGTTGCATATCTGGAACCGGTTAGTCCAATCTAATTTGCTAAAAATCCAGGAAATATTATCTTTACTCTTATTTCCAGCAGTGTAAAGCATCTTCTTGTAAGGAATTCTAATAACTAACTTATATTTACTATCTTTTAGCACCAACAACTAACCAGAATATGTCAATGTTGTCTTCAAATATATATAAAATAGAGAAAGACCTTCTATAAGAATATCTCCTGAGGGTTAAAGTGTTACAGACAGACATGTTTGCAGTGAGAAGTCTCAGCATGTCTGCCCTCTGCACCCCACTCTCCACCTACCATTGTTAATGTGTTGAGTTCCAGGCCTAAGGGATGGTGCTCTCTCTACGCCCTCTGCTCTGCTATTTATTATATGCAGCTCTGACGACGACAGATGCAAAAACAACTCAATCATTATGAATCATGACACTGGTATTTTGTCATCACAAAGGTTTGACTCATTTGTCAGGAAGGATTCCCCACTAAATAACCTTTTATACATATATCATGATATTAAAAGCTTTCCCCAAATAGACATTTATTGTTTTACTCTTGGACAATATCTCCACAAATTAAACTTCATCCATCCCAAATTTGAGATACCAGGAGATTCATGGCAGTTTATGTTAAGATTAAAACAAATACAAATATACGTCTTCTGATCAACGAGATATAGATACCACCGACCAGTAACCTTGAATGTATACCAATATTATTTCCTGCATAGATACAGTTTGTGGTAAATCTGCCTATTTTTTAACCTACTGTTATAATATGTGTGTATCTGCATATTTATGTAAATGTGTTCTCTTACTGTGACTATATTGAGGGTTACAGGGAACCATAGGCTTCATGTAAGTTCAACACACTTTGCAATTTAAATCACATTTCTGTGGAATGAGGGGCTGTTCTCCGTTGAATTCTTCATATCAGTCACAAATAGCCTAACAAAAGAGGTGAAAAACTGGTTTTGTCAACTTGCACAACTGGATTTTAAAACCTTTTCTATTGAGGAATTACGTTTTTTTATTACAATTTTAATTCTGATAACAATTTTTCGGCCTATTTACGTGATTACACATGTTTTCCACAAAATAGTTGGCAGTCATTATGGCTAATAATGGTCTTCTCTAGTATATTTTGTATCATACTATTACATACTTTAAGTTTATAATGATATATGTATTTTGTTTTTTTAAATAAAGTTATTTTGTGATTTGTTCAATGGATAATGTTGCTTTTACTCTAATGCTTTAGTGAGGTATTCATCAAAAGCATATCAGACTAAAACATTTTCAAAGTGGTAATACATGTAATTAATATTGCTGGGAGAAATGGAACTGTTTTAAGCGAATTGGCTGAAAATGGGCATTACATTTTAAGGCTTTATGTTTTAAATGTATATATTGTATTCATGCTGCTGCTCACATTTTTTTTCATTTTTTTTTTTACTGTCAGTTTGGATGTTTCCATGTTAATTGTTGGAAATATAAAGCCTCTACTGTATGTGTATGATTTGCAAATATCAGTCTTTGTTACTCTTGGTGGAAGTTTTCTAAATGTCCTCCTTCAAATTCCCTTATTAGAACGTACGAGGGAGTCATGACTTTAATACAATTATGACTTAGTCTTTACTTTTCTCGAAACAGCCATCAGCAGTAAAGCATCCCTTCCTCATCTCACCAGATGCATCAGAGTGACTGACTGTTACCATTGAGAACTGACAGTGACATCTTGTGGACAAAAGACATAGCTGTTGGGACATTTCTAAAACTTAACACAAATGTGATGCTGGTGTATTGATCATTTGTATTTCCGTATTGCTCCTACCATGGCAGCAATTCCTCTTCCTGAGGTCATGACAAACTATGAGACATAACACGCCCCCAAGGCAAAAATGTGTAAATGTAATTTTCCGTCTTAAATAATTATTCTTCAGGACAGTTCTTCCCAACCTGGGGGTCGCGACTCCTTCTTTCCCTCATTTTAAGTTTGCATTGTTTTTTAAGATATATGGTAATATTTTCCTCATCGTTGGTCCATTTTTAATACAATTATGTGAACGGATCATATGTTTTAAATGGGTCATTAAAACGTTTTCAATGATCATTATAATCATGATAATAAGGTTGTAGCCTCACTAGCTCATTGTGCGTTGTGTGTACTTCAAATAAAAAAGGCAGGGATTCTATTAAACATTTTGAAACTACAAGTATTGAGTTGGTTTTGTCAAACATTTTTATATATGATGTGCCTCTTTTCCTGGTTTAAAGATAAACTTTATTTATTATTTTTATTGAAGGGGCCCTATTATGCTATCTTAGTTTCTCTCCCACACATTCCCCCTCTGCCTGAAACGCCTCTATTGGACTCCTTTGTTTACTTCGGTAACATAGTGACATCACTAATACTCAAGCTTCTATTTGCTAGCCGTATCCAGGATTTCCTAAATACTGAGGTCCAAACATGTTAGGGGGTTTTGGGGGTACCCCCCGAGATTTTTGGGATTTTCATGATCTAGTTAGGTGCTTTTTAAGTCCTGTGGGGGGTCACAAATGGGATAATATATCGATTTCAAACCATGTCAGTGGGCTGACAATGTCAGCATAAATTATTTTTGAAAGTGTAATACATAAGAATCAGTTGATTGTTACTATTAATGATCTGGACATGCAGAAGAGGCTAAAATGATCACAAAACATTGTCAACATTCATTTTCCATGTCTCTCTCCTTTCCATAACCTGCCCCCTCTCTCTTCTTTAGTCTCTCTGTCTTCTTCCTGTTCATTACTCTTTGTCCTCTACTCTTTCTCTTTGTTCAATCTCTCCCTCGTTGTTCACTTGTTGCTCCTTCTCACTTGTCGCTCCTGCCAGTGAATTAAAAGCAATTCAGCAATTTAGTTAATTTCACTTGTTTGTTTGCATTATTTATTTTTATTTAAATCTGTTTTGTTTGATTCTCAAAAGAGAACAAAGATGTAAGCAAATGGTGTTTTATACAATTGTATGTTATTATGACATCATAACTGCAATAGATGTATGTTGTTTTAAAATTATGCCTATTGTCTATATTGTAAATTAAGACTATTGTTATAGATAAATAGATAGATAGATAGATAGATAGATAGATAGATAGATAGATTGATAGATAGATAGATAGATAGATAGATAGATAGATGGATAGATAGATAGATAGATAGATAGATAGATAGATAGATAGATAGATAGATGGATAGATAGATAGATAGATGGGGTTATTAAGCCTACATTCTTTTGTGTGACTGTACCTGCAGTTCCTCCCTGACTTCCATCACTTTCTCTCTTTCTCTCTGCCTGTCCTGTCTCTTCCTTACCAAAGCTGAGCTTCAACTGACGTAGTCTTTTCATTATATCTGAGTCAGTGTAAAAATAAAACAATACAATGTTATATCTTCAATGTTTTACTCAAATTGAAATGAAAGAAAACCATTAAAACGTTTGTTAAAAGGTAACCCTTCTGACATTGGATGAATGAAATTAACTTTAGCTCTCTAGCTAGTTTATTCACGCAATTTAAACCAAAGTATAGCCTATAGCTGCAATATAAGTTAGTGTGCATGTTGTCGGACGTCCACTGACTAACGTAGAGCGTTCACACAGGATCTGCTGGTCATATGATGTCCTGATGAACAGAAACACAAGCAGCCCGCTGGACTCAGATCTCTAGATACCTCATCACTCCTCCGCTGCTCCGATACAAGTCTTGGCTGCGGTGGTTTGTTGATACATGTCGTCTTCTTCTGTTTGCTTTAACCGAGGCTACGTAGTTATGCAGTGCCCCCATCGTCAGTAAATGGAAGTACTACAAAGAACCCCGTTTAGTGCAATTATTTCACAAGTTTTGTATACACAGCTCGAAAAATATTACCGAGGTCCGGAACTCTGTGACATCAATGGTGGATACGGCCATGATCCAACACATTGTACGTGATAGGCTAAGGGGCGGGACATCTCTAAGTGGTTGATCAATCACAACAGAGCAGGCTGGGCTCTGGTTTCAGACAGAGGGTGAAAAGAGGTGCTGCAGCACAGGCAGTATGAGAAAAATAAAGAGCTTTTTGAACATTAAAGCATGGAGACATGTCACAGTAGAGGCACTACATATAAATATGAAACCTAAATATGAGCATGATAGGGCCCCTTTAAAAGCAAATGTATTTTCAAAGTGAAGACATACATTTTCTTCGAATTAAAACCGATTATCACAAAGCCATGCATACAGTTGTATACAAGTTTTCAGCAAAACTCTTGTTCATGCTCCCTTCTTTTCATATTGAAATATTTAATTTCAAGACTTTTATATGCACAAAAAAAGTTGATTTATCTCATGGTTTTCAGGTTCAACTTCAGGTTCTTTATTTGTACCTGTAGGTAGATTTTGTTTGCAGAGAAAAAGACAAGGGATCCATCCTGACACACTCTAAAAACAAACACAAACAACAGACACATCTCTAATAAAAGGACTAGTAAAAAGTACAAGTACACCCTGCTCCGTCAAATCTCAAAATATTTCCATTTGATCACACATTTGATAGTGATCACTTCTTCTTTGCCAATATAACCCTTATGGTAGATGAATAGATCTTGATTTAACATTGAGAGTATTACACAGACGTGCCCGGGCAGCACCAGCATGTTATCATTGTGTGATTGTTGGCATGTTTTACAGCTGCAGAGTGCTCACCTACTGAACTTTGCTTCTTTCGATGTCTGTAACAATTGATATATTGGGAAGCATTTTTACATGAGGGAGTATCCCCTTTACACAGAAACGCATCATATCTAACAATCTATCCATGAACTCAGCATAAGGAGCTGTTGCCATGGTAACGGCTAGAGGGGGAATCCTAAATAAACAATGAAGAATAAACTAGGGTAAAACTTGGAATCCTGAGTTATATGTTACAACATGTTTTCGTAAGATGCTTAAGATGTGTATTCAAACACTTATCTGCAGTTTACTGTCTGTAGCCATGGTAACAGTTAGTTTTATCCAAATGAAATAAAATAAATTAGTTGCCGTCCTTCCTGTATCCTCTGTCAGACTTTCACTATGAAAACGATCAACTTTCACTTTTTCTCAGCAGTAGTTTTCCTGAGAGCGCAGGCCGCCTCAAGGAAACACTTGTTGCTTTGAGAAGTGTGTCAAAAGAGAAACAGGAAGAGAAACAGGAAGAGTAAAAAAAAAGAGGGACTTCATAATGATTTCTAAATGTGAAATGAAATCCATTTTTCTCCAGTTGAAAATAAAAAACAAAACAAAGTTTTGCAAGTATATTTATTTAATCATTCATAATAGCAATAAAGCAAGGTTTCATAACTGAAAAATGTTCACCTAATCAAATCCATTGAACCTGAACTGTGGTTAGCAAACAAACCCTCTTTGATACAGTATGTCGGCAACTACTTTCATTCATCAGGAGTTGGCAGGGTTTAATATAGTAGCATTTAGCTGCTAAAAGATGGGCCAATTGGATTTTCCATTGGATTTTGGAATATTGCAGAAAACACCCAGCTAGAAATATTTGGTTCTAAAAACATTTTGAGAATGTTACATTCATTGTTCTAGGAATGTTTCAGCGGGAAGTTTTCTTTTGGTTCCCAGAACGTTCTTCTGAAAGGTAGGATAACGTTCTCTAAAAACATTCTTAAAATGTTTGGTGATAACATTGTTAGAACATTATGCCCTCCTATTCTTAAAACGTTTTCAGCGGGAAGTTTTTGTTTGGTTCCCAGAATGTTCTTCTGAAAGGTAGGAT